TTTTAAGGAGTTGGGGAGCTGAGGAAAAGACTAAAGATGGCTCTAAAAATGCATAGCAGACACTTGCCTTGAGCTGAGGGACAGGGCTCAGGCCCAGATTTCAAGTCCCATTACTGACAAAAAAATATATATAGCAGACAGCAAGAGAAGAATCAAGAAACCCCACAGACACAAACTCCACTGAAGCAAACTGAACAAGCTGCAGAGTACAATAGCTGATGGAACTGGCCAAGTGTTTGTTTCTACAAAGTGTTAAAAATGACGTGTCTGACAATGTTACCAATCTTTAAAACATGTGTTTAAAAGATGATAGATAAGGGCATAATTGATAGGTATGTACAATTAGCATCACAAATTTACCATAGTATACACCAAAACCTTAAATAACTGCATTTATATTTAGTCTATTACCAAGCAGGAAATTTAACTCAGTTATAAAACAACTTTTTTTTCCCTCCTAGGGCTTGAACTCAGGTCTGGGCACTGTCCATAAGCTTCTTTTGCTAGTGCTCTACCACTTAAGCAACAGTGACATTTCCAGCTTTTTCTGAGCTTATTAGAGATAAGAATCTCACAGAATTTTCTGCCCAGGCTGGCTTTAAACTGGAATTCTCAGATCTCAGTCTCCTGAATAGTTAGGATTACAGGGGTGAGTCATTAATGGCCAGCAAGAACCAACTTTTTAGCATAAAAAGGGCTCTGCGTTTAATCCCCATTCAAACTGGTAGGGGTTGGGAGGCAACAGACAAGATAGGCCAAGGAATTTCTCTTTTTTTCCTATTAAATATTGAAAGCAATGCACTTAAAATTCAAATACATTAGCCGGGCGCTGGTGGCTCACGCCTGTAATCCTAGCTACTGAGGAGGCTGAGATCTGAGGATCGCGGTTCAAAGCCAGCCCGGGCAAGAGAGACCGTGAGACTCCTATCTCCAATAAACCACCAGAAAAACCGGAAGTGGCACTGTAGCTCAAGTGGTAGAGTGCTTGCCTTGAGCTGAAGAGCTGAGGGACAGCGCCCAAGCCCAGAGTTCAAGCCCCACGACCGACCAAAAAAAAAAAAAATTCAAATACATTACCTATGAAATTCTTTAATACAGTGGCTTAACATGCCATCAATTTCTTCAGACAAAGCAAGATCATCTTGTTGGTCTTCCTACCCTACACCACCAGAAGAGTAGTGTGCATGAAGGTTGTTTGACAAAAATAAAATGAAACTTTCTCCCAGGCCAAAAGGCACCCATTTTGCAAATCAAGGCTGGATGTTCAGCCGTTAAAACAGTGTAGCTTATTATCTCAGAAGCCAAAATGTCTCACTAGTGAAGGTCTTAGATCCTTCCTCTATATCTTTGAACTTCCAAACACTACTAATAAGCAAGACATTCCATGTGAATCCTTAGACTCAGCTTCTATTTCTAGCTTGGCCCCTGAATGAATGACACTGTGACCTCGAGAAAGTTTCCACCTCTGCTTATCTCCATTTCCAACTGATGATATTTTGTCAATAACACTCAGCCAATGAGTGATATTGTATAGCTGGAAGCAGCTACACAAAATCATATCTGCTGACCAGTTCTAGCAAACTATCAAATATGAAATAGGTGATGTTCATATAACAAGAGGAAAAAAAATCTGCCTGAAGACATTAAAAAAAAAAACCCAAGCACTACTGAAACAGGGCTCTTTTGGAGTCCCAAACTTCAAATTTGAAAATACTAAACATTAAAATGATATGCATATTCCAAGAGTGCACTTTTAAGAAGAAAAAAAAGATATTTTATTTTTAAAAAGACAAAAGGTAAAACAAAACATCAACCTTATTAGGGTCCTATGATCTTCCATGATTCTTTTCCATTCTCCTATGACAAATGCCAAGGATTATACCTCTTCAACACACTTCTGCATATCTATAGACAGACAGACCAACAGACAAATAGATAGATATACAAATATGCAACTACATAGATAACAGACAGAAGATTCCTGCAGAGTCTTCTTTCTTTCTTTGATGTTTTTATTTTGTGTATTTTTTTCAGTACTAAGGAGGATGTCCTTGAACAAACTAGGCAAGCATTTTATCATGAGCATCGCTTTTAAGCCCCTGCTCTGTGCTCATTAGTGTCTTCTCTTAGTGAACTTGAAAAGGCATGCCATGGTTCTGGCTGCAGAATATGGCTCAGTAAAAAAGTGCTTGCCTAGCATGTACAAGTCCTTCCATCTCAGTACACACACACATACACACACACACACACTATATATATATATATATATACATATATGTACAATGTACATATGTACACATATGTACAATGTAGGTGTCCAATACACATGTTCAGGTATATATAAATGTATATATATACATATGCACAATAAATGAATATAGCAAATTAATTTCTAATGATTTAGACTACTAGAAGAACATTCCTTAATATTAATCGTTGATAATCTTGTAGTAATTGTATTGTAGTAATTTTCATTTTTTGCTAACTATATACAAAGAAATGTTACCTAAAGAGAAAATACACAATTTTGCACCAAAACTTAATTCACAGAATTTGGGCTAGGGTATGCTTCAGTGGTAGAGTCTTTGCCTAGTATGCACATGGTCCTACATTTGATCCACAGATCATTAAGAAATAAAATAAAATAAATTCACAACCTTGGAATCATCTTTTATCAAAAATGTTCTGTCATGTTCTTACATGATCATTGTTACCTTTAAAAAAAACATAATATGGAGCTGGGAAGGTGGCTCAGTGGTAGAGCGCTTGCCTTGCATGCATGAGGCCCTGGGTTCGATTCCTCAGCACCACATAAGCAAAAAGAAAAAAGCCTGAAGTGGTGCTGTGGCTCAAGTGGTAGAGAGCTAGCCTTGAGCTGAAGAGCTGAGGGACAGCGCCCAGGCCCAGAGTTCAGGCCCTACGACCGGACCCAAAAAAAAAACAAAAAAAAACATAATCTGTGTGGTAGTTTTAAATTCCTATAAATGTTCCTTTAAACTAACTCTATAAAATAAGGAATAGTTGTTTCAAAGCCAGCCCAGGCAGGGAAGTCTCTAAGACTCATCTCCAATTAACCATAAGAAAACCAGAAGTGTCACTGTGGCTCAAGTGGTAGAGTGCTCACCTTGAGTTGAAGAGCTCAGGGACAGTGCCCAGGCCCAAAGTTCAAGCCCCACAACTGGAATAAATAAATAAATAAAAAGATAAAAATAAGGAATAGCAAAGAAAGAGTGAAAAAAATGGTCTAAATAGTGGATAGAAACTACTTTCAAGGGGCTGGGAAGATGGCTCAGTGGTAGAGCACTTGCCTTGCATGCATGAGGCCCTGGGTTCGATTCCCCAGCACCACATAAGCAAAAAGAAAAAAGCCGGAAGTGGCGCTGTGGCTCAAGTGGTAGAGCGCTAGACTTGAGCTGAAGAGCTGAGGGACAGCACCCAGCCCCACGACCGGACCCAAAAAAAAAAAAAAAAAAAGAAACTATTTTCAAGATTCTAAAAAGATAAACAATAAAAGTTACCACCACAACATTAACAGCCACTCTAAGAAATAGCTTTCCTCTTTATTGGCACTGGGGTTTGAACTCAGGGTCTCTTACTTGGGCACTATGTAAGAAAATTCATCGCAGCAATTTATATGGTGAATGTTTTCTTAGATATGTGGGTAGATAGGTAGCAAGGTAGTGGCTTAGTAGCTAAGTCAAGTTGGCTGGTCAAGTTTTTATGATGTAGCTTTGGCTAGGTATAAAGTAAGGATAAATTCAAGTATAGCAAGTTCAACTTCTTAAGTAGCCCAGGCTGGCCTCCAACTCTTCATCCTGCCTCTGCCTCAAAGTCCTAGGATAATGGGCAAATGTCACTCATCTGTCACATCTAGTTAACTTCGTTGTTAAAATAAAAACATGACTTTAAAAGTTGCATTTGAATTTTAATTATTCAAATATTTATCACAAACCTATCAGCACTGACATGTTTGTATTTCTTCTTGTTCATTAAATTCTCACACTACATTTCATTCAATCATTAGCAGTAGATTTTAAGTGAATGGGAAATGACGCTGTGCACGAGCCCTTACAGTGAAGACCTATCTGAAAGGATAAACTCACTATACTACTCCACAATTCCACAATAAACCACCCTTCAGCTGTACTTTGTACCTGCAGACATCTCTGAGGAACAGAGCCATCAACTGGAAGTGCTTTGGCTTCTCACCTTCCCTACTTCCGCATTATAGCCTCTTCTCATTGGCTCAAGAAGCCAAACGAAAATGTCCCTAATATTCTATCATGTATTCATTTTCTAGAAGCACATATCAGATTTGTTTGCATTAGCAAACAGGAGTGAGTACTTAGCTTCACAAAATACTTATATCTAAACTGATGACACTACATATATGCTTGGTATATATAGATATATACATGTATATTTCACAGATGCGTGAAATACATATATACATGTCCCATATATATGTGGCAGGAATATATGCAATATATATGTGCATATGCTTCTCTATTCATATACATCTATCTAGACAGATAGATAGATAGCTGTATGCATATTGAAGCGGACAGATATCACCTGTATAATATTCTGAAATACATAATCAGTGCCTCCAACACCAACGCTTGAGAAGGATCATGAGCGATTTTCTTCTTTTAAAGCTCGCAGGAAGAGGTAGGCAAACAAGTAACAGGGCGCAAAAGGAATTCATCTCCTTAGGAGAACCGTGAAACATTAGAGAGCAAATATTTCGGGAAATGAGTAGAACAGCCCTTTCCCGAGATGTCTTCGGACAGACGCAACGAAATCGTTCCCTTTATCACTCAATTTCAACTAAAAGAAAAAGAACAATTCACCAGAGACCCAGGCATTGCATTGTGGGGGGCTGGGCGGCCCGGCTGCCAAGCCGAGGCCTGGGAGAGCGCGGGCAGGGCGGGTGGCAGGGGAAGGCCCTGATTGGCAGGCGACCTGCCGCCGGGAGGAGCGCGGATAGGCGCGCTCACCTGTGAACACGTTTTGGAAGCCATCCGCCGTCGCTGGCGTCCCAGTCGCCGTGGCCGTCAGAGCCGGGGACCCGCCACCGCTGGGATCCGTTGTCGCCCCGCGCCCCAGCAGGTGCGCGGAGCCTCCGGCCCCAGGCGCGCGGGCGCCCAGCTCATCCGTCCAGTCTGCGGAGCGGCTGAGTCCCCCGGCCAGGCCGCCGTCCACCCGGTGCTTCTTAGCCGGGGCTGCCACAGAGGCCAAGCCAGCCCTGGAGCCTCGGCTCAGGGCGGACTCCAGGCGCCTCTTGATCCTGGGGCTCTGGCTGGGGGACTGGGAGGGGGAGTGGTTGGGGGAGCTGAGCTGCCGGGTGGTGGTCTTGATGTAGCAGGGGTTGATGAGCGGGTAGGGCTTGAAGCAGCGCGGGCTGGGCGCGGGGCTACTGGGCAGAGAGGCGGCTGCGGGGAGAGCGGGGCCTGGGGTGCGCTCCTCCGGCTCTTCTTCCAGCCTCTGCGGGGCCTCGGCCACCTCTGGGCCCCACTCCTCTCCGGGAGAGCCTCGGGGAGCATCCTCAAAAGCATCCTCCTCGCCCTCCTCGTCTGTGTCCCCAGCCCCGGGTACGAGGGCTCCGGCTGCCTCCTCGCCAGCCCCAGCCTCGGGAAACGCGAAGGCAGCGGACGAGGGGGAGTCGGCGGCGGCCGACTGGGCGGTGGAGAAGCTGAGCGCCTCGGAGGCGAAGCGGTCTCGCGGGGAGGCCGGGGGCTCGCGCGCCGCGGGGGGCTCGCTGAGCTGGCTCTCCGGCAAGGCGGAGAGCGCGGACGAGGTCTGATCGGCGACGTCCCCGCGGCCCGGGGCCTCCCCAACAACTCCGCCGCTGGGTCCCAGCAGGAACCCATCCAGGCCCAGGAAGGCGGCAGTGGGGGGCGCTGCGGGCTCCTCTGAGTCTTGGAGCAGCAGCTGCTGCTGGTGCTGCTGTTGGTGCTGCAGGCGGATTGCCTGCTGGATGTCGGAAAGCAAATCCTCCTGCTCCGTAGCCGAATGGAAGCTATAGATGTCCGTGTCCGAGCCAGAACTGGTCCTTTGTCCATCCTGAGCCCCTGCCGCAGTTTCCAAATCCTCTGCGACCGCCTGGACCCCTTCCCTAGCCTGGGCCGGCCTAGGGCTACCTAGACGGGTCACCTCAAAGGGGTCCGCACACTCTGTATCCGACAGGCCCGTCTCCTCGGCCGAGAGGCTGAGGTCCGGAGTCTTAGTAACCAGGGACTGAGCGCTGTCCAGCTCCCCGATCTGCAGGGCCTGAGAATCCAGCACATCTTCGCGGGAGTCGCTGGCCCCTTTCCCCTTGGAAAGGTTCTTCCTTATCCGCAGGTTGGAAAACACCGAGGCTCTGGAATCCGACTTGCTCTTCTTCTTGCCCGGCTCCCCGCCGCCGCCCCCTCCCCCCTTGCCGTGCTTGCCCAGCGCCTTCTTGCTCCCGCTCCCCTTCTTTGTGGTTTCCGCATCCCTGGGCCGCGCAGCATCCTCGGCGCCGCCGCCGCCGCCGCCTTCGTGGGAAGCATCACCTGCGCTCCTCTTCAGCTTCCCATCCTGGTTTCCCATGTTGCAATCCCGCTGCTGCGCCCGCTGCTCCTAAGGTACTCAGGCCATCGTGGCCCCGGCCAGGACCAGGGCAGCCTCGGGGACAAGTCCGGCAGCTGGGCCAGCCGAGGGAAGGGGAGGCCGAAGAACACCCAGCTGGTCCGGTTCACAGCTGCTGCTGCCGCCGCTTTGCATAATGTGCGCCGGTTCTCGCGGCTGCCGTCCTTGCGGCGGTGGCTGCGGCCCTGGCCGGCGGGCTCGATCATGCTCAGTGCAGCGCGCACTCCCCGCCAATGGCTGCACAGGACGCAGCCGAGGCCTGGCTCCCCGCCCATTGCCGCCGCCCCCTCGGGGCCCCCTAGGCTCCTCCCTAAACCTGGCGCGCAAAATGTTCCCTCGGTTTCTGAGACCGACTTCTTTCCCCCCTCCACCCCCCTCCAATAGTGTCCTTGCTGGGTGGCGCAGCCTGGCCTTGAACTGACCCGCGATCCCTCTGCTCAGCCTCCCAAACGCAGGGATTACAGATATGCACCACCATGCCTGGCCATTTATCTCCATCAAGCCAACAAGGATGCTTTATCCTCTCCCTAAGCACTGGTGGGTTGTAACTTTAAAGCTGCAATCAGAAAAAATAAATAAATAATGAATCCAACGTAATGAAGCAAAGCAGATCCCAATAGCAAGTTAGAGGTGCCATGACATCACAGCCAATTGCACCTTTCCCTCTATCTGCCACATCATAATTCCACCATGAAATACTTGTTGCATGAGTGGATTGTTCTGCTTCTTGAATAACTGATCATCTTGAACACTAACGTGCTTGTGTAAGTGGGCTAACAAAGATTACGACATACCGTTTTGCATTCTTTTCACATAGACCTTGTTTCTTCAGCTCCAGATGCCAACTGTCTCTTCCAAAGTGGGTTTATCAAACATTTTTTGGACAGAAATGGGAGAGGTAGAAGAAGCTGAAAATACTAAGATTAGAGTTGATTAAAATGCTAATCTCCAAAATTGGATGTGCTTACCATATAAATTAAACAGCATTTGTATTTTAAAAGGGTGCATATACTATAACTCCCAGGAGGTCAAACTCATCAATATTAAACATGTCACTATTGTGATCGCCTATAAAAAGGAAAAAAGAAAGGAAACATCCTTGGCACAAACATAGGCAATTAGATGTTATGCTATAAACCACCACTTTCCCAAGCAAATCCTTCCATGCATGCTTTGTCCTGGACCAAGGCTTCTGGCCTGGATGTTAGCTGCCTACAGTTTAAAAAATATTTTTAAACAACATTGCTATTGAAAGAAAGTCCCAAGCTCCAAACTAAGTCTAGAGTAGCATTAATCAGCAAATGTTATACTTGTTTAAATTAGAAGTTCATTGTCAACGACTCTGAAAGTATGCAATAGTTAACCAAAATATATCTTTAAACTCAGAGAAGAGGTAATTATATGATGTCATTTTAAATGCAGCAAGCAAATGTGTAGTCTTCCTTTGCATACTAGGAACCAACATTTTAATCCTTTCTCTTGAAAGGTTTAAAATAAAAAGTTGGTCTTGTAGTCCACAAGTCTTTGATAGAAAAGATACTTAGCAATTACTAGTCATTTCAAACTATGATCTTCAAAATAAATGTAATGTCAGGGGGAATAAACAGCTGTCCTTACATGGCCCTCAAGTAAATAGTTTGGGGAAATCAACTTTAATAACTTTGCCAGGGTAATATTCTGGTCTCCAAGGGATTCCTGAGTGCTTGAAAAGCCTTTGTTTCTACCTCTTTCAAAAGACTGTTCTCTTCTATTTTTTAGAATCCAGGCTCCCCGGAGGCCCCAATTTGCCTGTGGATATTGAAATTTTTCTGCTACTTTGAATGTTGAGGTACTTTGAATTCTGATTTTTGCTCTGTCGTTAACAGAGCACCTTTGATTATGAACTATTTGTTTACTTACTATTTTCCTCTGTGATACATTCAAGAATTTAGCAGGAACAAATGAATGGAGAGGGAAAGGATAGAAAAGAAGAGAGAGAAAGGAAGAGAAAGGACAGCTGGGTTTTTTTTCTCACCCTTTGAATGGGAAACAATAGGTAGCAGTTGGGCAGCAGGTTCAAGTTGATAAAGCACTATTTCGTGGGAAGCTTCACTTCAAATTCACCAGCATGAGTAGGAAATGTAGGTAGGTCCAATACTAATTCATACATAAGCTCAGTTCAGAGAGGTGAAGGGAATTTTCCAAGTTTGCATAGGGGCAGATAGAATATTTGAGGAAAAATGTAGGCCCCAATTCTTTATAGCAAACAATATCATACTGTTTTCTCTTTAAGGGACTGGTAAAGATATCATAAAAGCAAGCTGAAAAAGTTTGCTTAGAGAATTCTTTGGTACTCAGCAGGTAATTAGTAATATTAAAGTTACCTGGGGCATAGGTCCTCAAACATATATCTATTTGAACAATAAAAAAGTATCAGTGATGTATATAACTTTGTGGTAGAGCCCCTATCTGAATTTGATCCTCAGCACCAAATAAATAAATGGATAGGAAAAAAATGAAAAGTAGATAAAAATAGTTCAAAATTAGTTAAAAAAAAAGAGGGGGGGGTTGATGAACTGGAAGGAAAAGAAAAAAAGGGGAGAAGGAAAAAGTATCATATCTGTTATTGTAAAAATACATTAAACAAGTAATTAGGAATCCTTCCAACCACATATTAGATCTCAGAAGAAAAAACGCCAAATATGACCAACCCACACAGCTCAAATATGTATCATATTGTAATTATTGGCAAAAAAAAAAACTCTATTAGCATCCCAAAGAGGTCACACAGATTGCACACAAAATAAAGTGCAGCCCTACTCATTTTCCAGCTAAGGAAATATATAGGGGTTTATAGAATGTAGTAAAACAAGGCCCCCAGGGCTCAAGTAATTCTAGCTATCTGGGAGCTGGTGAGTAGTTGTTCTTCTATTGAGATTAGCATGTTTGCTGTTGGAGGCCTGCCTATGAAGAAAAGTGCTCTAGATTTCAACTCCATACCCGCAAAAAGCAAGCCTTAATTCATGGCTCATGTGCTAGAACACTAGTCAAGCAAGCAGACCCAGGATATTGAGTACAAACTCTGATATACTAGAAAAATAATTGATTAAAAAATTAATGAGTGAAGGTTTTTACATCAGTAATAAAGTATGTACTTATTATGCATAAAGCATATTGGTTTGGTCTCTAGTACCTCAAAATAAATAATTAGGTAGGAGGTGGTAGTGCATGCCTACTACCTGAAACACAGAAATAGAAAAACAGATTCTGAAAATAGCTCAGGGCAAAAAGCACACAACGCTACCCAATAAATAAACTAAACCAAAACAATAGAGAAATGGAAATTAGAATAGTGTTGGAAAAGGCTGAAGTAGTAATTATCTTGCTTAGCAAGTGCAAAGCCTTGATTTCAAACCCCAGTACCACAAAAAACTCAAGAAACAAGACAGATAATAGATAAATAGATAGATTGATAGATCAATAGATAGAAGATAGTAAAAGTGGGTTGATAAACTTTAAATAAGTATTGGACTCTAGTTCATAATATACATGTTGCATAGTTGTGCTAAGTATACTAATCTTGTTACTCTCGAATGCATCAAAAACTAAAATGGGACAGACATGTGGTATAGCAAATAGAATAATATTAATCATTTAATCTACATAGTAGAAATATACATAGTAGATATCTGGTGTTCACTACAATATTCTCTCAAATATTTTGTATGATTAAAGTTTTTTTTATTAAAATGTTGAAGAAAGCACACTTCAAGAATGTGTGAAATTTTCAGCTGTTTTGAATTGGAATCATGCAATAGATGAATACTAAATGATAGACGGTGGTATGTATACTTCAATGACAGAGCGCTTGTCTAACAGGTGAGCCCTTGATTTTGATTTCTTGTACCACAGAAAAAATACAGTGTAGTGAAATATTTTTTTAAATCAGTTTATTGAGGGTTTTCCAATGTGTCCTTTTGCTTAGCCTTGATGCAATGTTGTGGATCTCTAATAGAACAATTAGATTGCTTTACATTATATTATTCATCTCATTCTTTTCTCCAGGAAATGCATGATCTTCCATTTTAAAGACAACTTTTCTGCCTATCAATTAGTAAGCTATTGTCCCCACTTCAATCTACCTCTTAGTCTTGACTTCTCCTAGATCATCGTCCCTGATCCCACAGCCTGGAGGACACCCTAACTCCTGTCACATTATCACTCTTGAATTTAACTCCCCTTCATTCACACACACACACACACACACACACACATATATATATATATACACACATATGCATATACATATACTGGTTTTTTCTTCAATAAAATCCCCACAATCATTCCAGGTGCCCCCCCCCCGCAAAAAAAACCATTGTTGCCTCCTTCCTCTCCTCCAGTCCAAACAATTCACCAGTCTCAGACTTCTCTATTCTTCCTCCTTAATGTCTCTCAAATTCACACATGCCTCCCACCCCTACTGTCAATTCTCATACCCCCCTTCTCCCCCAACTTCCCACTCCCATCTGTTCTCTCCCATTATTGTCCATGCTTTTCAACTGCAGGGATGACTTTGCACCCCAGGGGATATATGGCATTGTCTGGAGACATTTCTGGTTGTCAGGATGGAGGTGCTGCTGTTAACATAATACAAAGAGCACGCCTCCTGCTCACATGACCAAGAGTGATCCAGCCCAATAGCTCATTAATGTTTGTGAGTGAGACACCTGCTGTACTACCAAGCCAGTTAATACAGTGTACTGCTGAGGGCTGGGGATATAGCTTCTTGGTATAGTACCTGCCTGGTGGACACAGTGCTCTGGATTTGTTCTCCAGAACACAAAAGAAAAGAATTGAGAGATGACAACTCTTTCTCCCAATTCATCAAACTAAATCAGAATCTTGACGGCAGAGACCAACATGACAAATAAGACTTAATTGTTCCTACAGTGCTAAATATCTTAAGAGAGGACTTAACTTTT